TTTTGTACTTTATGAGAAGCTACCGTCCCAGTGACAGCTTTTGTACCTTTTTTCTGAGAGTGGAATGAAAGCAGGATGAATATGTGAACTGAAAAGTTACTGCCCATTCCAAAAAACAAAAACAAAAAAAAAACATCCTGTCACAGTGTGATGTGCACTAGACAGGCAGTGCTGACTGTGAGACTAGTAGGAGGTGAGTTCTCAGTTGATGCCGTTCTGCTTTGGCCGTTCTGGAAAATAATCTGTACTTTTTTGTCCAGTATAAAGCGGTCTTTCTCTGAGTGCTTGTCTGTCTATGTGCATAAAGTTTCATAACACTCATTTGAAAGTGACCTCTGCACTGAAGTTTCTGTACTCTTCACTGTCTCGGCCTCATGTTTCTTTGGGCTTTGATTGACAGGAGTTGTTCCTTGTGTGTTGGGCAGTTCCCAGGGGTCCGGTTTGGCCCTGAGCTTACCTTCACTGAGCCGTACCACTGTGACCACTGACAGTCTGAATCACTGACAGAATCACTGACTTTAAAAGATGAGCAACAGCAGGGCCTGTTCAAGATTTGTAGGGTTAGTTTAAGGATTTTTCTGATCAGTGTTATTATGCCATTATGTCTTGTTTGTAGCATTTTTAAATGTGTTTCATCAAGCAAATTAAGTTATTAGTTATTTTTCCTAAGGGATCTTTGTATCATTTATATTAAGTTGTCATTTTTTAGGTAATTTTTACTTTCATGTACCCACACTGTAAAAAAAAAAAGTAAATAAAAGTAAATAAAAACAGAGTCTGTTTTGCATGAAAATACTATTTAAGTTTTTCTACTTTAAAATTTCATCTTTAATGTAATTTGCTACTTGCTGTTTCTTTGTAATTGTATAATATATTATCAATTTCTTGGTGAAAATTGAACATTGACAGTGAAATTTGACATTTTTGGGTGAACAACACTGGCGAGAAAAGGTGGGTGGGTGGGGCGGAGGGTTTGGGGGTAAGTGAAACAATTTTTACCTATTAATTGTTAATAAATTTCACAGATAATTACAAATAAACACATTGAAGTAAATGTGAAATTTTAAGGTAGAAAGAATTAAGTTTCATTACTTCAAAAAATTACTTTTTCAGTGTAATTGTTGTGAAATTTTACATGAAACATTTGAACTAAATTACAATTTTGTGACATATTGTATAGTTTTAAATTTCAAATTTTGCAACTTTTAATTGTAAATGTGACATTGGCACATTGTATAGATTCTTTTTTTTTTTTTTTTACTGGATTTTACTTTTTTCTGGATTCTTTTTGTCAAAGTAGTCAACATATTACCGTATAAACATATCAAGTAAAAACATATTACAACTTCAGGTTTTTAGATGAAAAAATTAGGCAAAAGTTTGAGCTTCTGTACTCCACAGGAAAAAAATAGATTATCTGTCTTTTTTTTTTTTTTTTTTCCGCAATTTTCTAACTCCACAAGGATTCACCTGTTATAGAATTAAGAGAGTAATTTAATTTAATTTAAGTACAAATACAGTAAATCTATGTTCACCAAAGCCTTAACCAGTATTTGTGCATGCAATTGTGTTTTTGTTTTACAGCGTTTTTTTTTAAGCGAAAGGAAAAATCCTGTTACTGTAATCCCTGAAGTATTACATTCAAGTGCCCGTAGCTCCATATTTCCTCTTTACATAGTCTGTGTGCCTCTGAGAAAACTAATCAGATAAAATGCAGCTATTCCAGAACTACTCTAAACACAAGGTTGCCGCCTCAATCTCTGTATGAAATATAATCTCATCAGTTTCAAAATAGAATCTTTGAGGGGCAACCAGAAAAATGATTGTCAACAATGTGCAATCCAATCTCCTTTGTCCTGACCTGAGAGGCGGTGGTAGATATAAAACCTAGTAAATAAACTTTCTTTTTTCCCAGAATTAGACTCAATCTGCGTGGGCAGTTTTGCAGGTCAGTGAAAAACTGTGTTTATTTTGCAAGCTCTGATTCCTGTGTGTGATAACTGTGGGAGATGCATTTGGTAAAGAAACGCAAAAGAGAAAGAGTTCTCATTGACAGTGAAGTCAAAAGTCAGAGAGAAACAGCAGAAGAAACTCTGGAAAGTCTCTTGTGCTGCTGAATGTGATTGAGGTTGTAATCATCAGTGGCGGCTCGTGGGTTTTAAAATAGAGGAGGCACACTAATAATCATTGGTTTCTGGTCTGACAGAGTGAAGAACAAAGTTATGTCATGAGCCCCAAAATGCTGTTCTCTCTGATCCGAGCTGTCATTAAAGCAGTGATTCCCAACCAGGGGTACATGTACGCCAGGAGATGCTTTGAAAGATTTAGAATGTTTAAAGCTCTAGAAAAAGTTGTATATTGTCTATTACTATTGTCTATTACTGTTTAAAAGTTTGTGGTCAGCATTTTTTTTTTGAGATATTGAAGATAGTAATACTTTTATTCAGCAAGCACACATTAAATTGATCAAAAGTGGCTGTAAAGATCCATCCATCCAAAAAATCAAATTTTTAGTAGTCTCTTTAAAAAATATATTTATTTATTTATTTATTTATATGCCTATAGTAATTCATTTGTATTTTAATTTTAGTCATTTTAATACATCCAGTTGAACTAAATGAAAATGAGACTGACTATCTATCTATCTATCTATCTATCTATCTATCTATCTATCTATCGAGTCAAAAGGAACACATTTCTTACATAGGAACACATAGGAATCTGGATGGGAGGCACTGCATTAAGTAACCCTAGTTTATCGCTTTAAAAGAGTAGTCCTCACAAAAATGAAAATTCTGTATTATTTACTTAGCCTCATGCCATGTTAAACCCATATGCTGTTTTTTTTTTTTTTTTCAGGAAGAATTGTTACGCAGCTCTTGCCAGTTGAAAGTGCAGGGACCGTCATGCTTCAGAAAGGATGAGATGCATCAAACCATGTGACTGTACTGTAAGAGCTCTGGATATATGAAACAAGCCTGACAGGATGAGAGCTGTAATTTAATCATGGGATAAAATCTCCAGGTTGAAGCACCTGGGGAAATTCAGGCACCATAAATGGCGAGTACTAAAAGACAGCAATTGATTGAGTCAGATCCCATGGGGAATTTCAGTAATTTGCTTTGTAATAATAAGTCGTGGTTAGGGATGGTTCTCTCCTAAATATTCATTAGGTGGTGCATGAAGGCTTCATAAAATCATTAATTTTGGATGATTTACTCTTTGTTCAGTATATGACTCCATTACCTGTGTAAAGTATCAGTGTTTTGTTCTTTATTGCACAGGCATTTATACAAGAGGAGAAAACAAGTTTAGTAGGGGTTTGGACATCTCAGTTATATTTCATCCTAAATTCTAAAGAAACACAGAAACTTTTTTCAAAATATCATCTTTTGTGTTCCACAGAAATAAACTCAGTGAGTCATACAGGTTGGAACGACATGAGGGTTGAACAGTCACGACAGAATTGACACTTTTATAATTTAAAATCACAATGAAACAGAAGTAGCAACAGATCTTTTCTTTTGTATTGAGACTTACATCAGAGTGCAACAGACTGTTGAACAAAGAAAAAAAAAACAGGGCGGGGACTTGATTCTATGTATTGAGTGTTGATTGGTTTTTGAGATGTGGGCGTGGTACTTAAAAGTTGAGGATGCAATCAGGATGCAATAAAATTGATCAAAGTGACATTTGTTACAAAAGAATGATGAAAAAATTCTGTCTTATTAAAGTAGAATACCTTTTCCAATAAATGCTCTGACATATTGAGATTGACGGCAGGCTTCACTGTAGGGGCCGCATCATAACAAACAGCCATGTCAGTCATCAAAGAAAGACACTAGAAATATTAAGCGAGTAGTTACGGAAAATTATTCCAAGGGTACTTTAATGGAAAACTCATTTTATAGCTGCTCACTAAAAGCTTTGACTAAATGAATGTCAAATGTAAATGATTGAAGAACATGGATGATGTAGATAAACCTTTAATTGTGCACTAAATGTTAAGAGAAGAATTAATGTTAATTTTAGCATTGCAACAGGTCATTACCATCTGTGTCAAAATGCATATTGCTACCTTAAGAGAAATAGAAAATTAATTTCTTTAATTCAAATTTCACAGGACAATGGTAGATAATTCTACTTGAAGAAAAACAGCAGTGTTGCAGGCGTCACATTATGGAGTCAGTTTGGTGAGTTTGCCTCTAGGTCAAGTTATAACCTTTTAGTCAATTATTTCCTTGCATTTCCATTGCATCACAATCAGTGGACTCCTTTTAGCTCTTTCTTTGTTCGTAATCACTAGGTTTCTTTTGAAAACAATATTTTTTTCCTTTGAAATCTTCAGAGCTACCTATGGCTCTCTTACTGCTTGTAAAGGAAGCCGCGGCTCTATAGATTGTCATTTGAGTGATTGAACCCAAAGCATTACGCTGCTGATGTCAGGGTGCGATTCAGCGGTGGCTGACAGTATTGAAAACATGCCAAATGCAGTGTAGGATTATACCAGGTAATCATCTTATTAGTCATTATGATTGATTAAACGCCTCCAGTGGCTTTGATATGACATCTGGTGGGGGTATTTGCATACATGCCACACTGCGTAGCACTTGTTTCGACCTCTTCGACACCCCCCCACCCCCAAAAAAAAACATTTTTACTTTCATTCAGGCCATCCAAGATGAGTTTTTTTCTTCATCTGAACAGATTGAGGAAAAAGAGGGGAAAAAAATAGCGTTAACATCACTTGCTCACCAATGGATCCACTGCAGTGAATGGGTGCCGTCAGAATGAGAGAGACAGAATCAGGATAGAAATATGCCCAATTTAAGCACAGTTTACAAGTGAAAACAGTCCAAAATAGTTCTAAACAAATATGTTGGTGGATTTTGATGTGAAAAGACAACAGAGGATGGCCTTTTTCAGTTTACAAAGTACAAAGAGTAGCGGTTTAAAGTTAAAATGCCTTAATGATGGATTTGTTTCTTGGAAACACGTAGCTTTTAATTTCACAAGACGTCAACTGATGGACTGGAGTTGTGTGAATTACTTGTGAATTATTGTGATGTTCTAATTCTGACGGCACCCATTCACTGCAGAGGATCCATTGGTGAGTAAGTGTTATAATGCTACATTTCTCCAAATCTGTTTACATGAAGAAACAAACTCATCTACATCTTGGATGGCCTGAGTGTGAGTACAATTTCAGTAAAGTTTTGTTTTTGGGTGAACTATTCCTTTAAGGTAGAATTTGAGGACAAAGAGAGAAATCTTATAGAATCAACATTTTATTTAGAGCTCTGGCCCAAAACAGCACATAGTAGTAGTATTTCTGTTGTACTTCTTAATTTACAAACATCCAATCCTGAATGTGAAGCTGATAATTCACCCCAAAAAAGGGGGACAGACTGATACTTGTTAGTGGTACATTTATATATTCTGACGGAAAGAAAAACAAGATTCTGCTTGCTGCTTGAAAACTCATTAATCCATAAAAATGTTTGAACGAAACCCGCAGCTACAGTTAACTCATGAAAAGCAAGGTCGTATTTAAAAATGCAAAAGGCCATGGTGAAAGAAAAAATGTACAGTATGGCAAATTATTGCTTGAAGGGAAGATGTCAAGACTGCAAAACACTGATGTGTGTTTTCAGTTGCACATTTTTATCTATTTTAATGGCTGGGATTGTCTCCAGGCCAGTATGCATAGTAAATAAAAGAAAGGTATTTGTGCTTTTGTTCTCAGTGCATTACAACGAGACAGTCTTCACTAATGTCTTTTTTTAGTGTTTTATAATTAGTCATTTATATGGGGTGACTGGGACTTGATGTGTTTTTTATTACAGGGAATATTCCTAAAAGTTATAACCTTGAAGTCTATTTAAAAATGTCCAATGAGGCTCTTTTAAAAAGTTAAAACAACTGTCTAAAGAGTAAAACAAAGCCATTTTTCACAACAAATCTGCTTTTAAAATCTAACATGCAATTATGCAATGCTATTTAATTGCTTTTCATGAAAATTTGAGCAGCAAACAATTGATTCAATTCATGCAACAGCAGCCTGATCCATCCTGATGTTTATGAAAAATAAGTTTCCTGAGAGCAGGTTCAGCCTTTCCGTTATAATCAGCCTTAATCTTGCACAAATGTATGCTAGTGTTGTTTCATTGTGTGTACTTTTTACCTAGGAACTGTTATACAAATATGATATTAGAATTTTCATTTTGAGGGCAGGATTATTCTAATTTATGGCAGTGCTGAACTACTGTATGTGTTTGACTCAAAACTGAGATTGTAGCCACTGTGACAACTAGCCCCGGTGTCTCTTACAGCGATTTGCATTAAAAATACAATGTTTCTTAAGTATCTGAGATAAGGTTGAAAATCTGCCAAAGAAGCAAATATTTACATCTTCACTGTGCATCTGAGGCGTAGCAATTTAACTTGTTATTATGTGGGATTTACGAAGTCATTTTTTTAGAGTTGCACATTGCAGAATGTGCAATCCTGTGTATTATTTGTGAGGATTATGATAAGTCTATGTTTAGTGCCTTCTTTGAAAGACCATGTTTATACTTCAGCATGGCAATCAGAGAGGGATTGGCCCTCAGGAGAACCATCGCTCTCTTCCTCCTCTCTTCCTCTTTTACTTTCTCCCTCTCCTTCTTTTGCTCTTCATCTCTTTTTGCTTCATTTTTACCCAGCGCTGCTCTTTCAGCTGCCATCTCAGTTATGAATGTTTTATGCGTAAGTGAGATGGAGAAACTCAGAGAGACAGTAAACAGCAGGTTGTTGACAATGTGAGAGAAGATGAGACTATTTTGCACTTTCAAAAATCAGTCCAGATCCCCCTGTTTCATTTCCCCCACCAACTCGTCTTTCACAGAATGCAAAAACTATCTGCTAAAACATGAAAGACATCATGCTTAGAATGGTGCATGTCATGAAATAGCATCAGGAAATAGGCAAAATGTGATTTTTCTGGAAATGTAATTTTTTTTTTAATTATTAAAAATCATGTAACTATAAACATATTTAGAAGGGGACCATTGTCACTAACATGGAAACTTTGAACTTAAAAAAAAAAAAAAACTATTCTTTCACTTATTTGACCATTTTTGTTATTTTCAGTCACTTTGACCTAGAAACACATTTTCCATTTTATGCAATAAAAAGTCCTTGCATCCCAAAGATATAAATATGTATTAGCTGTCAAATCGTTGATGTTGGGAAAACTGTCTCTAAAGATTGCAATTTTAGATGTTCAATTAAGACATCAACAACAGGTTACAATTAAAAACAACAAATATAAAATAAAAAATAGAACATTATATATAGTGTTTCATACTAATATATATTGGTACGAAAAAAATTTTCATTACTTAAGCTGTTGTTAATGTTTTAATTCAATATATAAACTATTAAAGAAGTCATGTGAGACTTAAAAACAATTTGAACAGTAGTGTATATGGTAAATACTATCATTCTTATAGGTAAGATTCTATAATAATACATTTTTTTTTGTTTTTTTTTAGTGATGGTTCTTAAAGGGGTCATGAAATGGAAAATCAAAACCTCCAGAAACATAACAAAAAAATCTGAAACTGTTAAAAAATCTGAAAATGTTAGCCAATCACAGCAGTGGGCGTTTACACTGAACTCTATCAGCAGACACGCCCCTTCCAACAGAGCGTCCAACTCAGAGGGTTAAAGTCAGGGTAGAAAATTACTATTTATTTCTAAATTATGACCGATTTTGATGAAAAAAAAAAAAACACTGAGATTTTAAGTTTACCTCAGGAAACATAAAATAATAAAAAAATGCATTCATGACCCCTTTAAAATCACGATTTGCTTCTCTCTAGAATTTATTTTTCTAGCTAACTACCTTCAAGCTGTGGCCATTGAATACTTTTCCTGACGTAATTAATATTAGGTAACAAGTTGTCAGTGTTGGGGAGTAACTAGTTACATGTAACGGCGTTACGTAATTTAATTACAAAATAAATGTAACTTGCTCTCCGCCAAACGGTTTGGATAATGCGCTCTCGACATTTGTCATTAAAATAACACCATATGGATCAGAGTAATCAATGCGAGAGAGAGAATAGTGGACTGTGGAAGCGCACAGGTGGAGCAGAGAAGCAAAACTACTGTTCAGGGTTTCAAGTGCAGGTCAGTTTCATCTGTAAATAATTACATTTTAAATAGGGTAACTTGTAATCTGTAACCTATTACATTTCCAAAGTAACCTTCCCAACACTGCAAGTTGTTTACATCTTTGATGTCTTCCTGCTGCTGAAACACTGATTACATGAGAGATGATGCATTTGATATTTATTTTTCTTGCTGTAACTTGTAGTGAAGCGGCAGGCTGATGGGGAGAGAGTGTTATACAGTGCTGCCGTCTGAATCGACTAGGCAGCTACAGCGATTTGTCACACCACATTAAAGAGCATCAAAACAACATTTATTGTTTGATTTTCCTTTGACCTTAATAGTTTGTGTGCCCCATTTCAGCATGGATTGTTTTATGAACCTGTCACAATCTAATCAGGCTTTCCAAAGAGCCTGTTACACTCTTAAAAATAAAGGTGCTTCAAAAGGTTCTTCAAGCGATGCCATAGAAGAACCATTTTTGGTTCCACAAAGAACCATTCAGCCAAAGGTTCTTTAAAGAACCATCTCTTTCTTGCGTTTTTGTAATCTGAAGAACCTTATTTCGCCACAAAGAACCTTTTGTGAAACAGAAAGGTTCTTCAGATGCTAAAGGTTCTTTATGGAACCATTTAGACAAAAAGGTTCTTCAATGGCATCGTGAAGCACCTTTATTTATACTGAAGGATGGCGCAGCACAAACTATACTGGAAGTGTGAACAACCCCACAACCTGTGAGTAAATGCTTTTTTACGTGAAGATGATGTTTACATAGAAGTTGAGTTCATAGAAAGTGTAGAAAATGGCTATCTATCTATCTATCTATCTATCTATCTATCTATCCCTTTAAAGGTAAAAGTGGGGCTCAGTTGTTTTAGTGCATTCAACTAACAGCATACTAAACAACAGGGTTTATGTAAATAAATCATCTACAACCTGCTTATTTTCCAAACTTCTCTGAAAAAACGCCTGTCACAGTCTGACACTTCTTTATTCCTCTAAACGATTGATGTGTCAGGAAAGTTTTATTTGAGAAGCAATATGACTATGAGGCAAAAAGTCAAGTGATCTTGACATGCGAAGCTGCTGCTGCCGTGTGCCGCTGCGAACATGAACGCACGATCTTTGTTCACCTGCATTGCTCTTCCATTCCAGCAGCCTGTCAGCAGTGACGGGTGACAACAGGCTTCAAGTCCTCAAACAGATTGATGATGCCAGAAATTTGATTTTGACATTTCTGATATCTAAAGCTGTTCGGGTTCATGACTTTATAGACTTTGAAGTAAAAAAAGAAGTAGATTTGCATTTCCAAACAGAAATACCGGTGCTTTCAAAGCAATAAAAGAATGTTAGTTTTATGTACATTCATTTTATTTATGTTTTTTACAAAAAAAATTTAATTTGACTGCACAGTTGCAGCATTATTTCTCATAATTGTGACTTGATTTCACAAGATTTTTAGTGTTTTTGAAAGAAATCTCTAATGCTCAAGAATGCATTTATTTAAAAAAAAACAGTAAAGACAGTAATATTTGTAATATTTCTTTACAATTCAAAATACCTGTTTTCTATTTGAATTAATTTAAAATGCAATTATTTATTATTGTAATTTATTGTTATTTACCATGGTTTTTGTCATAGTAAAGCTGATTTTTCATCATCATTACTTCAGTCTTCAGTGTCACATGATCCATCAGAAATCATTCTAATATGCTGATCTTGTGAAAAATTTCTTATCAATGTTTAGTTTAACAGTTTTAGTTTGCTTAGTATATTTATGGAGGCCATGATACATTTTTCAGGATTATTTTACGAATAGAAAGTTAAGATGTTTATATGAAATAGATGTTATATTTAGGGTAAAAATTATATATTACAAATCTTATTATATATTAGAAATAATGTTT